AAGAAGAAGAAGAAGAAGAAGAAGAAGAAGAAGAAGAAGAAGAAGAAGAAGAAGAAGAAGAAGAAGAAGAAGAAGAAGAAGAAGAAGACGACGACCACCGCCGCCTCTGCCTCTGATTTTTGGTACACTATCCTTACTGGATCCTCACCAGAGCTCTTCTGGGGTATCCTGTGTCTTGGAGATCATGCGGGTATTGTTCCACAGGAACAGTCCTTTCATGAGCGCCAGCAGGACCTAGATGGGGTGGATGCTAGGATGGGTCAACCTAAGGCCCAATTGTGGGCCTGGGTATTGGCCAGGCAGGTCATATTGAGCCACTAGGGCCACCCGCTTCGGGTGCGGTGATGGTGTCAGCTCCCCTACATGCATGCTCTCAGGGTATGTTCATTCTCACCCGTGGTGAGGGATGGGGTCCCTCTCTCCTGAGTGCAAGGGCTACCTCTCTTGCTATAGTGACCCATGAGAGGCTAGGCCAGCTTTTCCAGGGCAGTGATGGGTGGAACTGGCTCAGTATAGCCCTCTGATTCCATCTTGCATGATTCTTAAGGCCTCCTGAAGTGACACTGGCCACAGACACCAACTTAGACCCCAGCTGCGGCTAGACCATGGACCCAGACATGGCCCTTGGCAGCAGCTTAGGCCTGGACAACATCCTGGCTCTGGGAGGAAGGAATGGCCACCCAGGTGGGGAATGGTTCCGGCAGCCATGTAGTTGCTGGACGCCACCAAGGCCTCAGGTTGTGGCCCCAACCCTGGGCCTTTGCATGACCATTAGTGGCAATGCAGGACCTGGACTCCAGGTCAGACCCCCCAGCCACAGTAGGACCATGTACCCCAACATGGTCCTTAGCAGCAGCTGTGTCTGGATGTCACCACTGCCGCCAATGGAGGCATGGCCTTGATCTTAGGTATCTGCATAGCTTTCGATGGCAACAGGAGAATCTGACATGAGCATAGACCCTGGCTGCAGTGGGACCACGACCCTGACATGGCCCTCATCCAGCCTGTATTTTAACCTTTGACGGCCCTATCACTTTTGCAGGGCTGTCTTTTTGCAGAGTGAGATGTCTTAGGTTCCACTTTTCCTCGGGCAGTGCTGTAGCCAGTCATTTCTTCAGGAAGCTCTAGGTCCTTTTATTGGAAACTCAGTGTTAGAATACAGGATCTCTTTCATGGTTTCCAGATACTCAATACATGGAGTAGGAGAGTGGCATGTCCATATAAGCTTGAACACCTCTGTTTATTTGTTATCTACATATTAGTTTAAATGCCACAAAGCTCATTATGACCCTTTCCCATTTTTGAAGCTATTTTCTCCAACAGTGAGAAACCTGATTCACATCAACCTCAGCATAATTCCTTACTGGATTAATTCTTCATTGTATTGAAAGCAGTTTAGAATTGTTAATGCATACCACTGCAAAGTGGAAACAAATGTATTAACTAGAATTCATTAATTGTAATTTTGGTCTTAAACGGAATATTTTCTACTTTCTACAGACTATAGTAATTAATTACCACAAATGTGGTTTAAACATGATTAATTCCTTCATAACTCTTGAGGCCAGACATCACAAATAAAGGTATAAGTAGGATTGTACTGTCTACGGTGGCTCCAGGGCAGTGGTTCTCAACCTTCCCAGTGCTGTGACCCTTTAATAAGTTCCTCATGGTGTGCTGACCCCAGCCTTACAATTATTTTAGTTGCTACTTCATAACTGTAATTTTGCTGCGATTATGAATCATAATATAAATATGTGATATACACGATATCTGATATGGGACCACTAAGAAATGATTATTTGACTGATAAAGGGGTCTCCACCCACATGTTGAGAACCGTTGCTCTAAGGGATGACTCTTTCCATGCTTTATTTTGCTTTGGTGATTCTAGATGTCCTTGTCTTGTGGCTAGATTACCTCTAGTATCAACTTTCACCTTCACATAGGTTTCTCCTTGTGTCCTCTACTCTTGTCTTTTAGGAGAACATTCACCACTGGGTGTAGGACGCACATTGATAACGTATTCAGAGATTGTCAAATTCTTAAATTAAGCCCCAAATTATATATATTGAATTCCCTTTTTATTGTTTGAGAATTTCATACATGAGTACTTTATTTGCATAATTTTCATCTTGCTTCCTCCTCCTCCTCCTTTTTCTAATTCCTCCAGTGCCCCCTCCACTCTCTTAAATTCATGATTTCTTCTTCTTTATTATTGGTTTGAATACAGATATAGACAGGTGTGTGTGTGTGTGTGTGTGTGTGTGCGCACACACACACACACAGACACACAGACACACAGACACACAGACACACAGACACACAGACACACACACCTACTGGAGTCCATTAGGGTTGTTTGTATGTAGATGCGTTTAGGGCTTAACTCTTGAGATTGGATAACCCATCAGGGAACTTGTTCCTAGAGAAATGGATTCTTTCTTCCCAGGCGCTGATTGCCGGTAGCTCTTCTCTAGGAGTGGGCCCTTGTGAAATTTCCTCTGTCTATATTGGCATAGCAGCTGGTGTTGTCATTATGCAGGTCATGATTAGGCAACCATAGTTTTGAGATTTCTTGGGTGCAGCTTCCCTGTCATATCTAGGAGATGCTGTGCGGAGGCTGTTGTCTTGGTGCCTTGGCTCTTACACTCTTCTGTTCCACGTTCTGTGGTGTTTTTCTTCTTAGCATTAGGGATGGCACTGTAGATGTATCTATTGAGATTCTTCTTTGTGCCTGAAAATGCTGTTGCTCCAAACAAGAGTCCCAGGACCTGGGATAAGGACATATTTTGGGAGACCATCCTTCGGTCCATTGCTGGGGTATGTGCCCCTCTACCTTCCTTTTAGCCTTTCATATGTCTTCCATATTGGAAACACAGCAAGGTCCATTCCTTTCCATTCACGTTAAATTTTAGATTGTCCCATCTGTTTGTAAATACTCATGTATGAAAACTTCACTTTTTCCCCAAAAGCCAAATAAATGAATGAAGACCCTCACATTATGATTGCTCTTTTTAGGGAGATAAGTGCTGTGGAAAAGACCAATGGGTTAAGCTGTGTTTACTTCGAGGGCTGGGGGTACTTACTAGATCAAGTGGCCTGTAAACTGAGGCTGGAAGAATGGAAAAGCCATTGTAAGAAAGTGAAACTAAAAGCTGCTTCCAGGAGGTGGGAAAGGCGGCTGTGTGTAGAAGGAGCTCTGTGTAGTAGAGAACCAAAGGGCAGGCAGGCAGCAGCTGGTGCATATTGGGCAGGAAGGAACGCGGTGAAGTTGCAAAGGAACTAATAAGCAGACAATACAATTCGTTTAGACTCGTTTAAAGATGTTGGGAGCTAGAAAAGGGCTAGATACAGGGGAGTGGCATTAGAACTATATGTTTTATTTGACAATTTCTTAAAAAATTAAAACAAAATTTTTATGTGTAATTTTTGCCATGGATGTCACACCCCCTGGAACTGAAGTTATCAACAGTTGTGAGCTGCCATGTGGGCACTGGGAATTGAACCCGCGTGCTCTGCATTAGCTTCCATAGACCTGTGTATTTAAAGGGTTTACCATGGTGTGTGGAACACATGAGATAGAGTTAAAGAGACTGTTAACATAAAAAACTGATGAAGAAACATGAGATAATGTTGGTTAATAGAAGAGTCATAGTGGTGTATGAGAGAAATGTAGAGACTTGTAATGTATTTTGGATAGACTCAGCAAGAGACTGGCTGGTAGATGAAATTTGCTTTGTCTGGAAGATTGGGGATTAGTCCAAGGGAGTATTGAAGGATGACTCCTAAGTTTGTAGCTTGATTAACTGAGAAATGAATTGTAAATCAATAAGAGACTGTAAGTCAAGATTTTCCTATTGGACATACATGTTTGAAGTACAGGTAGATATGGCAAATAGAGTTAGAAACATTATCGCAAATTCAGGTAGAGGAAAGGAGATCCCCATCCTTTCGTCTAGTCCTCTTAGGTATTGCTTCAGTTCATTTCTCCTTACTGTCGTCCAAGAGTCTCCACCTTGGCATTCCCTGTCTGTTCTATAGAATTGTTAAGATAACACCAAATACTGTTGGGGTAATGTGGACAGTTTGGACAGGAAATGATCTCCAGGTATAATTTCTAATTCATTCTTTCCAGAGAGGTAGTGTTTTTTTCCTTGTAAATTGGTTTAATCTGTATATTCTGCTTTTCTAATTTAAAGGAATAGTTTTATTTTAGACTTTGTTAGAGACACTGTTGTTCTACAGAAAAACCATTAGCCCCTTTTCTGCCTCGTTTGATTCTGACTTAGTGTGTATGAGAGTCTACCTAACTGTGCTGCCTGAGATTGTGTGGTGTGGGATGTGTTTGTGTGTGCATGTGTATTTGATGTATACTCGGGTTGATTTGGTTGTATACTGATTTTTAGACCATTATGTTACTTTGAGTCTATTATTTTTTGTGTTCTCTGTTAGGTAGAGAAAATTTCCCTGCTAATCTTAAGTATTTTCCTCTTATGTTTATTCTTTAGCTGGGTTGTAGAATCAGTGCTAACATAGTTTTAGGAAGTAAGGACTTGCTTTGCTTGTTTGTCAGTGCTTCCTGTTTCCTTAATTACTTTCTATTAAAGTGAAGGTCATGACTTTAAAGAGGGACATGTCTGCCTCGAGATTTACCTTTAATTTTTTCCGAAAGAGAACATATCAGCTGCTCTGCTTCCCCCTAATTAGTACCTGTTAAGGTAAGCACTGTTAGTCCCCCGAGTGGTCAGAGATGGGTATAAAAGTGAAATACAGCATGGTATGAGGGGAGATTGGGGTAAAGCAGTGCTAATTCAAAATAGTCTGCTTTGGAGGGTGCTCAAAGGCTGTACTTTTAAATGTGTGACGTCAGTTTATGCTTTACCCTTCAAACACCCCCTCTTTCTTCTTTAAGGGTCATACAGCAATGCTTCATACTGGCTCGTGGCATCCCAAAATAAAAGGAGAATTCATGACTTGCTCAAATGATGCGTGAGTATTGTTGATACTGTTTTGAATGCTTTCGTATCTTTCATTATCTCTTAACAGTTGTATCGTGGCAACCCTGGTAAAGTAGGAAATAGAGTAGTAGGAATCCTGGTGTTTATGTATGTGTTCCTATTCTTGACTCTGCTTGGACTTCAGTTGTAGTGTAAAGTTTAGTTTAACAAATATGGACGCTATGGAAATGAGAGATTTTGTAAATTCCAGTAGAGTTTATCATGGGACACACTGGATTAGACTGATGGTAGTAAGAGGATCTAAATAGCTTCGAAAGTATGACTAATAATTCCCTGCAGTGAAGACTGACTTCCATTTGAAATGAGAATGCGCCAGTTTTCTTTCCTCGAACTGCAGAAGCTGGCTGTTCTTCACCAAGAGTTCTGTGTGGGGTCACTAAGCTTAAAGCACAGTGTCCTTTGCCACTTTGAAGAGAAGTCTGTGAAAAATAAGCTCATGTGGCTTACAGCTCCATTGACCTTTTTCTTGGTCGTCGACTTAGAATAGTAGTTAGTTATGGACTGAACTGTGGAACGTTATAATCATAGAATGCTCACCAAGTATACTCCGCTGAGTCTCTGTCATCATTGCTTGTGTTCCATTGGAAGTGAGTGCTGTGAGACCAAAGCACAGGTATGCTCAAAGCTGAGCAGTGCAGTTTTATGTATGGTAAGTGTTGTTGAAGATACATTTAAACTAAAGGAAAGGAAGGTTAGAGAGCTAATGAGATACATGGCTTAGTGGGTGAAGGTGCCTGCCTCCATGCCTGACAACCTGAGCTTGATCCTTGGTTGATCCCATAGTGGAGTAAGAGCATAGATTCCTGCAAATGGTCCTTTGACTTCCACAGGTATACATGGCATGAACACACACCCACACACACACCCACACACACATACCCCCCACCCACCCACACACCCACCCACACCACACCACACAAAAAGGAGAATATTATAGAAGGATTTACCATACATAAAGTGAGTTATTGTTGTTGTTCTCAAGGTACAGGGTTAGACCTAGGGCTAGGCAAACTACCACTGAACTACATATTCTGACCCCGAGAAAGTCTCCTTTCAGTTGAGCCTTTAATCATGCAAAGGAGGCTGCTACAAGGGAAGGGCTTCCCTGGCCAGAGCAATGTTACTTAGAGACCCTGAGATGAGAAAGACCGTAGAGCACATTTGAGGGAATGAAAGATAACTTGCTTGAGATTTTTAAGTTTGTAGGAAAGATGAGAATGATAGAAAATGTATTTGAAAAGGAAGGTAAAAGATAGCCACATAAATATTTATTTATCTATTACGTCCCAACCTCAGTTTCCTGACCCTCCTCTCTGCCCAGTCCCTCCCCTCCCCTGATCCCCCATACTCTTCTTCATTTCTTTCAGAAAAGGGCTGGCCTCCCATGGATATCAACCAGCCAGACACATAAGTATTTTAGGCCAAGTGTGAAGGACCAGGATTTTGATAAACCTGGAATTTTAATTTGAAAAACCAAGGAATTGAATGGTGCCAAACCTAACATTAACATTTTCCAATGAGGTAACATTGGGATAATAATTAGCGTTCATGGAGAATGTACATTGAGTTACTACTGAGCAGTGTACTTTATGTATGCTAAGCTTTTGATGAGGCAGGTAGACAGTAATGAGATTACATATTTCACATGAGGAAGCTGATTATGACTTTACCAACAGTATTTAATTCTAAGTGCTGAGCCAGGATTTGAACACATGGTGAGTGATTACATACACAAAGTAATGGTGATTGATTTATAGATTTAGATACAAGGTACAAATCACTTTACACAAGGAGTAGATGTAAGACCTCATGTTATAAAGAACACAGGGATGCCTTTCTCCTTGGAAGAACAATTTCACTTTGCCTTGAGGTTTTCTAGGTGACGATACTACAATATTACCTGAGTGTAAAGATTATGAAAGGTCACTTATGATTAGAATGGGTCATTGTATCCTCTGTACAATTCGAATTGTTCTTTGAGGCATGGAGACATTCTGGCTGTGCAGGAGAAATCTTCTTGGTGATATCTGTGTGTGTGTGTGTGTGTGTGTGTGTGTGTGTGTGTGTGTGTGTGTGTGTGTGTTGCCATTCATTGGACCATGAACAACCCACCAGGAGCTATATCCTTGAAGAAAACAGAATCTTTCTCTCTTAGTAAACTAAATAGAAGGTTTTCTAAAGTAACATTTTTTTGTTTTTTCTCTTTTTTTATTATTATTATTATTTTATTTTATTTTACAATACTATTCAGTTCTACATAACAGCCACAGATTCCCTTGTTCTCCCCATTCCTGCCCCCCTCCCCTTCCCCGCAGCCCACCCCCCATTCCCACCTCCTCTGGGTCAAAGCCTCCCCCGAGGACTGAGATTGACCTGATAGACTCAGTGGCTCAGCCGTTAAAGGCTAGGCTCACAACCAAAAATATGAAGTAACATTTTTTTAAAGGTGACCCCTGGGCCTTAAATGGGACATCTATATCATACCTCCTTTATCCAAGGTTCAAGTATCAGCTACTTTTTTTTTTTTTTTTTAAAGAAAATACCATTCTGTGGAAACTTATGTCTTATTTATTTATGATTTCAACTTTGTATTATCAAGTTAAAGGTATTTTTTTCTTCTTTTATTATTTGTTTGGTTCTGAAATCACTATTATTTATTTTGTTTTTATTTTTTTAAATTGTGTGTGTGTGTGTGTGTGTGTGTGTGTGTGTGTAGTGTAGTGTAGGTATGTGCACATGTGTGCAGATGCCCATGGAGACCAGAGGCATCAGATCCCCCTGGACCAGTCACTTGATGTGGATGCTAGGAACTGAACTCATGTCCTCTGGAAGAACAGTAAAGGCTCCGAGCTCTGAGCCATCTCTCCAGCTCCCTGTCTTGGAGATTTTAATAGGGGCAATTAGACTTTAAGCAAAAATTATGTGAGCAGGTTCCATCAATGGTATCCTGTTTTGTCTGCTCCCCATTCTTGCTTTATGATATTCTTTGTCTGTCTCACTTTTGACAACTGGAAAAAGGCATAGTTTCTATAAAAAGACCATGATGTCGACAGCCATTGACCTCAACCTCCTTTGTAATGACAGCGCTCTGCACTTAGTGCTTAATTCCCCCAGGAATGTTTGCTAACCTATGGGGTTACAGCACCGTTGGAGTAGATCTAGGGTAGAATTCTGGCAGCTTTTGCCAGTCATGCATGGCAGGCACACAATTGTGAATTAGCTTTGCTGTAGTAGGAGTGAAGAATCATTGGTGTTTGTGAGAAATGATTCCTCTGGGGGCTAAGGTGGCACTCACTGCTTTCTTCCGGGCTAACTTCTCCAGGTTAAGTTGAGGGTCTCTGAATGTGTGTCATAGACATTAGTGTTCAGACATTTCAGGTCCAGAAGATTCAGTATGAAACAGAGTACGTATGAAATAAAAGATAAAAGGAAGAAGGGAAGGTGGCAATCTTTTTCATTTCATCAACTTTACTGGAGTGGAAAGTGCATAATAAAGCAGAATTTAATAAAATTTTCTCGGAAGTAAGTGGTAATGAAAACCAGATGGCATTGAAGATAAAAATGGTTATCCAAGAAATTCATTGTTACTTATGGGTTGATAGCGTGATGGGAGTCATTTTGTAATTTGTAGTAGCTTAGGGTATGACACCAACAGAATTTGAGTCCTCAGCACAGAATCTGTCTAAAGTAGGAAGGACATGTATTATGGATTTTATTCCTCAATACTCGTAGTATTTTGGAACGTGACTGTTTTTGGAGTTAATGTCATAAAATAGATGATTATGAAGCTGTGAAGGTGAGCCTGATATAGTACAACTGGTATCCTTATATGAAAACGTGTGAGGGATGCATATCTAGAGAGAAAAGCCGCAGGATGATACGCTGAGAAAGCAGTTAGCTGTCTAGGAAGAGTCTTGGAAGAAACACACTTCCCAGCACCTCCATCGTGGACTTCTAGTCTCTGGAACGATTAGAAAATAAATTCATACTCCTTAAGCGACCTAGCATATGACACTTTGAAGATTTATCTTATTTTTAAGTGTGTGTGTGTGTGTGTGTGTGTGTGTGTGTATGCCTGTCTGTCTGTGTCTGTCTGTGCATATGAGTGTGTGTGCTTGCAGAGGCCAGAAGAGAACATCAGATCCCAGGAAGTGGAGAGTTAGAGCTTGTGAGTTGCCTGACGTGGGTGCTAGGATCAGAACTCACTAGCACTCTTACCTGCCGAGCCAGCTCTCCAGCCCATTTTGTTATGGCAGCTGTGACAAACTAATGCAGGGCAGGAAAACGTTGGGCTATTATGTACCACATAATAGAATGTGTAGGGTTTCCTGATTGACTCTCCTTACCATTCTACCTGTTGCTGCTTTAGCTGTCTTCCTGCTTCTGAGATATATTGGGTAATCTCCCATCTTTGCTCAGTTAACTCTCAAGATATTGCTACAAAGGGACCCAGGATTAGCTTCCTTCCCAGGATCTTCTTTACTTTGAGATCCAAACATTTTGTCTTAAGTTAAATGATTTTATTTATTTTTCATTATTTGGAAGGTATATCTAGGCACATTGTTTTGTGATTATCTTGTAGTTTTCAATTGACAAAAGATACAGGGCTTTTTATTTGTTCAGTATGGGATTATGGAAAATGAATAGTAGCAAGAATTCTTGATTTCTTTGGCAGGTCTTTATTGAATTGTTGGCAGAATACTAAAAAACTATAGAATGATTCTGTTTTCTTTTTGTTAATTAAAATTTAAACATAAGCCTACATGAAGTATTACTAAGATTTATTACTCACAAATAACTGATAATTGAGTATTCTCTAAAGCTACAGGAAGTAGTTTTTAGAGTGTTCTCTAAAACACAGTGAAGTAGATTTTTTTCGAGACAGGGTTTCTCTGTGTAGCTTTGCTCCTTTCCTGGAACTCACTTTGTAAACCAGGCTGGCCTTGAACTCACAGAGATCCGCCTGCCTCT